AAGAAAGTGTCTTATCAAGTTGGTAGTAGTATGTTGGCCCGACGTTGGCCCGACGTTAGCACGAGTGTTCTCTTGTTTAAGTGTTTCAAAGATGGTATATTTATTTTGGGCCAACGCTGGCCCAATTATTATACTGCCAACTAAATGATGGTGTCTTTTTTAGCTACTGAGCTTTACGTTTAGACAACTTGGTTCTAATTAAGTTTTAATTTATACGCACATTCTGAAATAATGAAGAGGACATTCTATGTCCATGCTTTAATTGGATGTATGACTGTTTTTGTTTAGATCTTATATTTTCAAAATTTCAACTTTGAACTTAATTAAGTGATCACAGCACCAAAGAGTGTTTTATTATATTTTTTTGAATTGTGCACATGCATGCTTATTTATTTGAAATAAAACCCTTGAAATACTGAATTTTTTTTATGAGCATTGTATTAATGAGAATTTAGAGAAGACTGAATAAGTTCTCAGGAACTCCTAACAAGATGTGAATGAAGCCTACATATACATAAATCAAAATGACACATCTTTATAATTAAATTGAAACAAAAGTTAGGCGTTCGCCAAAGATTAGTGAGTCGCGCGGGAATCAAATTACACCAAACTGTGGAGTGAGCTGTTAAATTCAATTGCTCACAGGTGGTCATCATAGACTGAAAATGCAGGGCAAGCAAGCAGAAGTGAAATTTAAATTTGTGGATTATACACTTGCTATCACTGCATTTAGAAGCAATGTAAGTATATTTATTCTTATTTATTCAGGTTAACTGTTAAAATTAATTCGAATTCATTCTTTTCATGTTTTTGCACACAAGCACTGTAACTAAGTTAAGGCTAAATAACATCTTTTAAGTTGTTTCTATCTAATTCTTAACTGTCTATTACAGACACGATTGTAACAAGGAAATTAAGGTGCACTAATAGTATAATTCACCATTCTCTTTATTAAAAGATTTCATTTAAGTAATATTTATTCATAAGTTGGACCAGTAATTGTATTGTTTCTAATATCAAACTATTTTGTATTTTTAATCAGAGACTGCAAGGAAAACAAATGTTGTGGCTGTTAATAACAATGAAATCGAAGACCATGCATAAAGAAGTGTATAAAGTACGAGTACATATGACAAAGATCAAGATGAAGAAAACGGGAGGCGACGAAGGTACGGGAAAAGAGCGGGAATACAAGAAAAGGACAGTAATAAAGGAAGTGAGCACTGATTAAGGACTTTGAATTGATAATTTTTCATAATTTACCTCTTTTGTCTATTTCAAAATTTATTTTGTAAACTTTGATTGAATTGATGTATATAAAATATTTTCACAGTTAATCATTAGTAATGTTTGTATTGAACATGTCCATGTATGCATTATGAATGTAGATTGAGTTGTGTATATTATTTTTAAAACAGTCATCAAATAGGTTTATGTAAAGCATCACCTAACCAATTGCAAATGTAGAGCTACGTTGGTTCAACAATTTGCCATCTGACATTGTAAAAAAAGGGTCAACATTGGGCCAACCTAACAAACCAGTTGTTAAGGTTGGCTATCAGTTGGCAAACACTAAAAACTACGCTGGCCCAACAATATGCAATCTCACATTTCAACAAAGGGCCAACGTTGGGCCAACCTAACCACCCAGTTATTTAAGGTTGACTGTTAGTTGTCATACAATTATACCTACGTTGGCCCGACAATATGCCAACATGTTGGACCAACGTTGGGTCGATGAGCAAAATTACCGTGGGCCAACGTAAGGTTACCAACAGTGGGCCAACGTTGGAAAAAAAAATTGGGCCAACGTTGGCCCAACTATGTCTTGCTATCTGGGGAAGAGTCCGGATAGACTGTGAATTTAGCATATTCACTTCTATCTTGTGACTCTACAATAAATATCATTCAAGTACAATCGGAATTGTTTCTCTTTGCCAATTTAGGTAAGCTTGTGTTTCCAATTTTTAATCAAATGTTGAGTTAAAATTTAATTTTGATTTTCATCATCATTATTTTAATTAATGTTTTTATGATTTTTTATTTAAAGTTTCATTTAATTTGCAATGTTATAAATTACTTAATTCATAAGATTTTCATTGAACTTTGAAATATCTGAAAAGTTTACCGAAAATCAATAACAATAAATTGTTTCTTTTATTCAAATGTTAGATAATGTTTACAATTATAAAATAATATTTATTGCAATCATTTCTTTTTTGAATTATTCACGAAAAATAGAGTTTTTGTAGTTTTTTTCTATCTTTTTGAATTTCTGGCAATTTGATTTTACAGCTCATGAATCATTTTCTGTTCGGAACTCTCTAGTCAAAGAAGGTATTTAAATTTTCCCGAACTTTTGTAAACATTGTCCATGGAGTTTAAAATTTGTAAGTTTTCTGATTTTATTGTTAACTTTTGATATTTAACGTAAGAACTTAGTTAAGCGCTACGCATGAATGATTTCACGTAAACGATCGATCTTTAGTTACCGTTTTGTGATCATTAATTTTAATAGCAGGCCCCGAGGTTTTAAAACTTTTTCGAGTCCATATTCGTACTCAAACTCAAACTCCGTACTCCAGATTCATACTCGTACGCCAAAGACGAGGTTATAAAGAATCATTATATTCATACTCAAACTCAAACGGAGTACAAACTCAATATTTTTTCAAGTATCCTCCAAACCAACCTCAGAGTCAATCTCAAGTGTCATGTATATAGGGTTATTTCACCCTATCTACTGGCTAACACGATCCGTTTGCATCATAATTCTTCTTCGCCATACGGATTACCCCATCGTAAATTTTCTCTGTCTACATTGTCATTGGATTTTAGTTTTTTCTTCTTTTTTAATTATTATACGTTACTGAAATGATATATGTATATGTAGGTTTAACTGTTTAGTTCAGTCGTTTGACCAGTTGCGAATCGAATCACAGGCCTGACGAATGAGTTATGTACCCCCCCCCCCTTCCCCCAGAATCTGAGAATAGTGTCAATCTCCAAATCTTACCAGAAGCGTAAAATGATAGCAGATATTGAAATATATAAAATAATGAAATATATGTAAAGAATGATAGAAAAGAAAATCATGTATTTTTGATAAGGTTTTGAAACGTGTCTAAAAGAATTTTCAGAAGCTGGGGGAGGGGGGGTTACAACATCCATTTGTCAGTTGCCTGTGTTCTGAACAGGGAACCGATTTGGCGAAAAATTAGCTATATGATGACATAATTTCAAAATCTATGTTGCAGCCTTTTTCAAAGGGTTCATTTTTTTAAAGAGTCTTTTACTCTCACTTTAATTTCATTATAAATTAAACTATTTTAAAATTGCTTATGTTAAATAAGAGTGTCACATCGATTACTTTACCGGTGTATAGTTTTATCTATACTGAATGATAATGTGTGTATAAGAAATCAAAATACATATAAAAAAATATTGAAAAAATTCAATAAAATTAAAGAAGTGGACCGCGTATACACATTTCAATTTTAAAAAGAATATTTTAATGATTTCGCATATTTCAAAGATACATGAAAGAAATTTTTTTCAACTCCTTTGTAGATTGTGTGGTTCTTTCTATTTTTGGAATGACATAATGAAGAAACGGTTACATGTATTTACATTCGCAAGTGTACATAAATTGCCCTCATATTGCATATACCGAGTACTAGCACGTGCATTCCCCCTCATTTTAATATGTAACTTTATATAATTTTTACTTCCAAAAGCTAAAGATTTCCTTTTCAAGAGTTTGAGTTTGTACTCTAAATCCGTTGAGTTTGACTCAGTGGAGATTGTACTCCAAATTTTTATAACCTCAAATTTAGAAACGTACTCAGTGGAGTTCATACTCAGAGTTTGAAGTTTGAGTTGGAGTATGAGTACGCTTAAAGTTTTATAACTTTGGGGCCAGGTTTCGCTAAAATGTTGTTTCGAAAGCAATTTCACTATTTCACATAGTTAATTTCGATAATAACTTGCATTAATTTATAATGATGCTTTGTGTAAAACCTTATATAAATGCGTTTTTTATCTCCCGACTCTACAATAAACACAATTCAACTTTATTTGGAATTGTTTCTCTTTGCCAATTTAGAACCACAGCATAAAAAGCGAGTTGCTATCCTACCAAGGTAATTCCCCAAAGTTCACAGACGAAAAGGCCCGTGTGAAACATGTATTTTACTATTCAGAAGTTACTTTTTCTTTGTTATCCGGTGTTTCGATCAAGAAAACAGACAAAATTCACCGAAAGTTTACTTTCAAAAATAGACCTTTAGTAAGTAGTTCCACTATATATACCAGAATTTCCTCTGCTTTTTAGAACATGTGTTTTTACTTTTCTCAGTTTGTACGACAATACAATTTGTGTAGAGAATGAGTGATTAAAAAAAAGAGTGTCCATGTATTAATTTCTAATTTTAATGAGTAGTGATTCAGTTGCGTATTTGTTAGCTAAAATACAGCGAAATTTTAGTGTTTTACGTGAACTCTGCAACAAAGTAAAATTCAAACCACGGAGAACCCTAATGCTCACAGACAAGTGTGTTGATATGTAAAAAACAACGGCCGATGAAGGATTTTATTAGCTTACAAGGTTATTGTAATGAATTTAATATTTACGAAATGCCGACTTTAAACAAGGCTGTTGAAATCTCTGTTACATATACACAAGACAAAATTGCTAACGCACCACTTAAAATTCTTTACTGTGAACATTTTCCTATTTGGTATCAATATATACAATGCGCCATATTTTCCAATACAGAGGGATTGGCAAATGCCTTGGTGTCATGACAAAACCCCAAAATGACCTTCTTCCACGAAAACCATTTTCCCGACACGCACTGTGCACATTTTTTGCCCAGATATATGCATTTCTAATTACCGATGATGGTCCTTGAGGTTAAACCAGTCTCTCATAATATAAACAATAAAATATTAAATCGCCTGCTTGTCATCCAATGCCTTGGCGTTATATCCTGTAAATCATGGAGAGGTTAGGATACAACACCCAACCTGGAGTACACAGTGTTCTCAGTGTGAGGGGGACACAGAATACTACTGTAACACGTGTGGACATGAGTTGTGTCTACAGTGTAAAGATACATTACAAACGTCCTTACCACACATCATAAAGCAGTATTGTATAAAGCCTTGACCAAACAGTGTAAGATACGTGAGTGTTCTGAATGTCAGGGGGACGCAGAATACTACTGTAACACGTGTGAACATGACCTGTGTCAACAGTGTAAAGAGGGGCATGTTACACACTCCCATAAAGTGGTGTTTTTTAGAACAACGCATTGCAAAAGAGGCTTTACAATACAGTGTTCTCAGTGTCAGAAGGACACAGATTTTTACTGTAACACTTGTGTCTACAGTGTAAAGAAAGACATGTCATTGATCTACACACCAAAAACCATGATGTTGTGATTTACCGTGAGAATCATGACCACATTACAAAACAAAAAGACCTGTGAGAGACATCCAAAGAGAGTATATAAAAAGTACTGTCATTTCTATAAACTTCCGGTCTGTTTCCAATGGTCAAAACACATACATCACCTTATATTAGACATAAGAACAGCATACAAAACAAACCGTCAAAAACAGAGAGGAGTCATTCACATCATTCTGGCAGGAATCAGATATGATACAAAAACTTGTCATACAGAAATCTCCAACAATCATCCAAAGGTGTTAAAAAAGCCAAGAAACTAAGGAACTACATAGTCACTGTGGTGTGTGATGTCAAACTCAGATTTATTCAAAGTTTACTACAACAGAGGAGAAAAATAAACAGACATCTCGCCAGCATAGAAACCTTCGAACATAGATCTGACCATTTGGCAAACAGACCGCTTCAATTCATCATTTCCTAAAGAGACCTCGTGTACAGAGGTTGAAGGACACTCCTAGTCTCACACAATACGCCCTGGTCTGCCTGATTGCAGAAATCAACATAGAGGATTTGACTGATTTGCTGGGTGAAAGCCAAATGATAGAGGCACGGAAAAGACAAGTAAGAAATGAAAGTCTGCTGAAACTGATGACTAATCCTGTTTAACATAGGTCTATCACTGTGCCAGACGAAAAAAATGTATATCGTATATCCAGTGTGACACCAGACCAGGCCTGGATCAGTATTGGTAAAAATCTTATCTTGATAAACTCAGAGGGTGACATACTACATCACCTGGCGGATGTAATTAGCGTGTGGGGACAACACACAGTGAATATTACTGGTGATCTTATCTACGTAGACAGGGATGATAATGTTATCAAACTCTCTAAAGATAACAGAACAAAGTCTACATTGATAAAGAAAACAGAACAATGGTACAACAGTGTGTCTACTCCTCCCACCTCAACGGCGATTTGCTGGTCGGTATGCGGCCGGTCCTACAATTCAGGTATATTTACATTTGCAAATGTTTTCCTTTATATAACACTGCTAAAGGCAAGCGTTTTTATAACTGTGTAAATACAGGTATGGGGTCAAGAGGTCATAGATGTGCGTTTGGATAAACGTTCGACGTAATTTCTCTGTGACGTCATAAAGGGTCGACGCGCGTTTTGTGGATTACATACATGCCGTTGGGTTTGAAAAATTAAGGCATTTCACACGTTAACAATAATAATCAGGCAAATATAAAGTATGAATAAGTCACAAATTAATGTAAATATAAGTAATAAGGTATCATATTTTGAGTTTTATTGAGATGTAAAACGGGTTGGCACATGATCAAATCTTCCATAAAGCCCTTCGGGCTTTATGAGATTTGATCACGTGACCAACCTGTTTTACATCTCAATAAAACTCAAAAAAATGATACCTTATTTCTTAAATAATAGCACGTTATTATGACACAGGACGTCATAAACAGACAATACGGCATGGCAACACAGACCAGGAACTGATTTCCGAGTCTATCTATATCACAGAGGAGCGCAATGGAGATGTAATTGTGTCTGACCGGTTACGTCGTGCTGTTGTAGTGACAGACAGTACAGGTAGACGTCGCTTTTCCTACAAAGGTCTTCCATCAGGAGCACGAATAGATCCACGAGGAAATTGTACTGACGCGCTGTCACACATCCTGGTGTGTGAAGGTAACACTAACAAAATACTTATTCTTGACAAGAACGGCCACTTTCTGTCACTAATACTGACACGACTACAACGGAGAATCGGACCAATGGGCCTGGGTTATTACGACAAAACTCATCTTCTCTGGGTTGGATTAACCTACGGGAAAAAGAGAGTGCGTTTATACAGACACATGGAGAGGCAGGACTATCTACAAAATATAAAAAGTCAGAGTAAAAAAGATATATGACATTACACATTCTGTAGTGACATTGCACTGGCAATTGGGCAAGTAAATTAGATGTATGACGAACACATTCATACAAAAACAGAAATATGTGAAAGACCTTTGTAATTAGTTGCTTATACATATAATCAACTTCATATTAAATGTAGCAATAGTAATACATAAACATAAGTAATCAAATATTATTATACGAAGCTCACCTCGACTAATGTTATCAGTGTAATAAGTGCAAATCTCACATCATATTTTCTTAATATCTAGAATTTATCCCAACAACAATATTCTAGCAAGTTGTGTGTAACCCCTTAAATAGCATATACACATTTCTATGCATGTTGCGTTAAAAACATGTATAGTGTAAACAAATATCCCTCAATTTGTTAATACTGCAGATATCAAGGACTTAAAGTCCATTGGGATTAATCTGTTCCCAAAACTTTAACCCGGTCTCTTGTATGGAAAATAAAGGTCAGATTTAGCATTCAAAGCAAGTATGATACTGCCCATCCCTAGATGCATCATCCATGCAAGTTTGGTTCAGGTAGGGCTAATAGTTACTCAGGAATGAAGATATAGATCAGATCCAGCATACAAAACATCCAGGGTAGTGTCCATCTCTAGATGCATCATCCATGCAAGTTTAGTCAGGGTAGAGCTTATAGTTCCTTGGGAATCAACCTGCTCCAAAAACTTTAACCTGGTTACTCATCTTGGAAATGTAGGTCACATCCAGCATCCGAAGTGTACATCCTTAGATGCATCATCCATGCAAGTTTAGTTCAGGTAGGGCTTATAGTTACATAGGAATGGACTTGCTTCTTAAACTTTAACCTGCATGGGATGCAGTCGAGGTGAGCTAAAAACTATATGTTTGGAACATATCTACATGTTGGCCATTTTTACAGTATATATATAGGTCAAAATTACATATGGTAGCATTATATCATTATACAATTGTACTGAAGAATCGGTCTTTTTTCATCCTTATATAAAAAGTAAATAGAAACGGGTGTCGGGATGAAGGAAGTTTTAAAATTAATGAAAAATATATTTAAAATCATGATTTAAGTGAAATGGGGAAAATAAAGGTAGAATTCCGTCCCTCAACTTTAAAAATTGGGACCCCCTAAATATATTGCTAGATCGTCAGTAAATTTTTGACTGCCCGAAAATAAAATTAAAATGTCTTTATTTTGACAGACAAACCAGTATATAATTGTAATAAGCTTAATATTTATGAAATGTGATGACCTCAATATTTACGAAATGTGATGACCTAAATAATTACGAAAAGTAATAATAATGACATTAATATTTATGAAATGTAATGACCTTAATCTTCACGAAATGTAATGATCCTAAAGGTACTTGGACACAGATTTGAAGTTATTATTTTCTCTATAATATTACGACTTATGTATTTTAATAGCATTTAATAGCATTTCACACAAAAATTAATTTTAAATCTTATTTCGTTGAAAAGATATTGAAATTTCAAATTTTTCGGCGTGTTTGATTGACATATCCTTGCACTCTCACAAATATAATTTTATTCTTAATCCTTTGGAAAAGTGGCAATTTCGTTTTGTATAAATGAAAAATATTAATATTATAATCCAGAAAATTCAGAGTAGACACGTACGAAAGCAAAACAAACACACAATATATTGTCAGTCCGTGCAGTTGTGGTAAGCAGACTCTGACGATTGAACGCATCCAGTGAATTCTAAATATAAAAATTAACAGAACTCGAGCCCTGTTTTCAAAAACTGTGTACATAACACGAGTGTGCTCGATTAGCTAAACTCTGTACGCATCTCTTAGTTCGGAATGACGATACTTGTGAAGGTGTTTTGCTTTCTAACATTTCTACTCTGAATAAAATTATTTTTCTTGATGAAAGTTTTAATATTTCTCATTAAAACACATCAAAATTGCCACTTTTCCTTAGGATTAAGAATAAAGTTAAAATTTGTGAAAGTGCAAGGATGTGTCAATCAAACCCGCCAAAAAATTAAAAGTTATAATAACCTTTAAATGAAATAAGATTTTAAATTTATTTTTGTGTAAAATACTATTAAATACTCGTATATAATTCGTGATATTAAGCAGAAAAAATGAGAAAAATATTAACTTCAAATCTGTGTCCAAGTACCTTTAATATTCATGAAATGTAATGATCTTAATATTTACGAAATGCTAACTTTAAGTCCCTGTAACATCAACTTAGCAGCGAGTAGCCTGCCTTGGTTTTAAAGAGTTAACTCTCTAAAAAATGTCTTTCTTTAAAAGCCCATTCTTTTTATTATTTTCAGACTGTTGATGCTCATTCAGTATATTTTACGGAACAAACCAAATGTATGTGTATGTGTATTTAGCACTGTCCATATATTGATTTATGACTACTGTATACAGGGTTATTTTCGCCCTTTCACACTTGCAAAACAATTTCTCAAGTAAGCATTTAATTTGCAAATATAACTAATCGTGGTGACTTGTGTCATTTCAATTATAAGGCCTTTTCATGGCTGTAGAAACCGTAGGGCATGCGTTCGTACATGTAGTGTCCTCAACTGAAAATATATGGTGGCCCCCATCCACTCCCCAACTGAAATAGTTTAATTTAATGCCACTGCTTTGTTTAATACTTAATTTGACTTGTTTATTTTATCCATACTAAGGACTCACAGCTGATGTGAAAGGTCAACAGGGGATGCTTAATCCTCCTTGGCACCTGATCCGACCTCTGGCATTTCCAAGTTTCCTCTGATATGTCTTCTTCACACACAGTTGTGTAGTTCTTTTGTTTATATACATGTACATTGTTTAAATTGATCAGTATTCATTATGTTCACCATTAACATTAAACCACTGCATGGAGCCAATAAGATCAGTGATTGCAGGTTGGTGCCTGTAACTTGAGGATGTTGCACATAGAGATATACTTCAATGAGGGAGTAGAAGAGGCAAATATGACAGAAAAAACATTGTCAAATGATTTGAAGATAGATGAGTTATACTGGGTATTTCATTTAGGCTAGGTCAATTGTGTTGGGTTTGCAGCTTTGAACACAAGTGAACTTTCCCCTTCCCTAATATATTATGACATACTTTTCATTCTCAGAACAGTAAAGACGGTATTAAAATACTAATGCAATATGCCTACTAGTCACATGCTCACATGTGCATTTTTTTTTAACGAATTCAAAACACAAATATATTTCATTTAGATAATAGAAATTAACACCTAAATAGAACGAATACTGCATTTAGGAGAAAACGCTTGCTTGTGGGTATAACTGTCTTTTAGACGGCATCTAGTTTTATTTCATACTAAAGTGAATCGTTACAGTGTTGTATTATACATGTACTCAGGTGACCTGTAAGGTCCTTGGGCCTCTATGTTTGTGTGTTTGTATTAAGGTAAGTCACTCGTCAGCCTTTAAGAAAAGTTCATGCAGAAGCTGTTACATCAAAATTACTTATTAAAATTCAATTTTTATAACATATTTAAATTCAACAATGTAAATTTTTTTTTACATTCAATGAAAAAACTGCTCAAAATTCTACAAAGAAGCAAAATTTATGATGGACTATTTCTTTTGGTGGAAGGATATTTAGCAGAAAATTCTGCAAATCTGCACATTTATAAAATTTAATGTAATGGAAATTTAGCCTCATATACTTTTACTCGGAGAATATTTTCCGTTTTGATATTGCTAAAAATATTTAATATAGGTCTTAAATTATATTTTTAGACCAAGTTTTACACCTTCCCTCAATAAACTTTTAAAACATAAAATGAAAATATATTAAAGAAGTAACAATTAGTTAAATTTAATGTAAGTTTAATCTTTTGCCAAAAATCACATATTTTGAAATCATAATATTTCAAAATTAACATCAAAGGTACTGACCCCATCTTTTTCTTTCATTATTTCAAACTACTCGATACTTGTGACTGATCAGCACTCAAGTTGTAAAAACACATTAACATTTTGATATAAGAAATTTTTTTATTGCCTATTAAGTTTTTAATATACCCCAAAAATGTTATTTTTTATTGCAAAAAGGTCACACAATAAATTACGCGTTTTAATTTGCAAGATTTGTTTCACGATAAATATTATTCAAACTATTTTGACGTAAAATAAGATTATATTTATTGCCATGCTTACATCTAATCAAATATAATAAGGGTTAAAGTAATTAACCAAAGAGGTGAAATTTTAGTGCAAAAAGGTCAACTTAAATGTACTATAGATTATATTTATTGCAGTAGGATGCACAAAAAGGTGACCCCCTATTTTCTTTGCGATTTTGAGTTACACTATAAGTACTTATCCAAAATATACTTCTCAAAAAATTCTTGATATAACAAATTTCAGGAGTGACTTACCTTAATTTTACATTTATGAAGAAGGATATGGAGATAAGAACAGTATTCAATCTCAAAGTCCATAAAAAAAATACAAAATATGAGCACAGCAAACTCAGACCTCCGAATCATCAGAGTTGGAATCAGGAGCCATGGAGGAGTGAGCATCTCCTGCCAACCGGTCACACCCGCACGGTGCTTGTTGTCATGAGTGGGAAATTATGGAAATATCCGTTGTCAATTCAGTGTATAAATAATGGACTAACAATAACATTTATCCTGCCTCTGATAAAAATCGTGAAATTTCATTGGCCGAAAGCAATACTGCATGAAACGATGTTATGCTGTCTACCCACCTCACATTGCTAATGTGCCCCCACCACATGACCTTTCACGTG